TTTTTTTTTTTTTTTTTTTTTTTTTCCTGGGACCTTCTTTTGTCCTTGCACGGGCTGGCCACCCGGGACCTGGACGGCACGGCTAGTAGCCTAGATAATAGGTATATATATCTTTATTATATTGTATTATTTTTTTAGTTGTTTACTATATTTTTATTTACTTTATTTGTGTTAATATCTTTTATATTTATATCATTTATATATCTTGATTATTCTCATTTTTATATAACAAATATATAATATAGAAAAATAAATTTATATACCTACCAACCCAAACAATTTTTTTCAAATGTTATTAAAAAAAACATACGAACTCAAGATTTCGAGTTTTAATCGATATTTATGGAGTTGATTATCCTTTTCGAAAAGATAGATTTGAAGTGGTATATAGGCTCGCCAAAGTTAAGATGCAAGAGGCGAATAACGGGAGTTGAATCCGTGTTTTCAAATTAAGAATCTGACTCTTTGACCTATTAAGTTATATTCGTCGTGATCTCGACTTGCTCGAACCGACGAAGTGTTTTAACTTGTCGTGTGTACCATTTCACCAAGCGAGTAAGCTCCTCCCCATACGCATTTTCAATTCGAGATCATTGTCACTGGACCTGTGCCACTCACACCAGCACTATCATAAATGTATCTGACCACGTTCAAAATTAAAGAAGGAAAATCCAGAACTCATGTAAAAAAATTCATGTGTGATATGCATCTGACCACAATTTTGTCCAAAACCTAGATAAGTAAAAAGGTGATAACGTGAGTGGCCTAGTGTGAGCACGTCTGAAATACAGAGACAAGTTCGTTTTCAGTAATTGGGTCGGCCAGTTGAACAAAGATGATAACTCAACGCCGTCCCTTTTTGAAAAAAAAAAACGCTTCCTTCCCTCCTAAGGCCCATTGCAACCCCCCTATTCCTGAAACGGAAGACCCGGGCGGTGTTATCGAACATCGATGCCAAACGACCTCTATGGCCTACCGCCAGACCTTCTACCTCTGCCATGACCCTGCACGGCTGTGACCTCACTCTTCCCCAGTACCCGGCGACACCCTCTAATCCCCTGTTCCTTCGCCACGACATTCCCCAACCAAAAAGCATTTCCCAAACAGAAAGTTGCACTAAACTGTTTAGCAGAATGCAACCAGGACAGGATAAGGGCAGCCTCCTGGCAGCGAACTCAGGTGTATAATATTCGCAGCCCTTAGGCTGCGGTATAGTGTGCTTCCGCGTCTGTGTCAAGGTGTCGCATTTTCGGTGGCGGGCGACCGGAACGCAAAGTGGGTTCTTAGGGGACAAATGCTTTTTGGGGACCGGTCCTTGGCAAGATTGCGGACTACCTACAGCTAGCTCTTCTAGAACCGGGACTTTTGGAAAAACGAAGGACCGGTCCTGAGGTGGAAGTGGACCCAAAAAAGAAGTGGGGGGCATTGGACCTGTCCTCGGGTAGAAGCGGACCCCAAAAAGAAGTGAGGGCATGTGAACTGCAAAAGGACCCTCAGGCCCAGGCGTTGAGCCCTGTTTTATCAAAACAGGGAGGTCAGACACAACGAAACAAACGTTTTGCAAGAGGCAACTTTGACGATTTTCTATGCTCAGACGAACATGCAAAAAAATCTGAAATTTTGAGAATCCATAGATGAGGTCGTGTTCTTTCCAGAAATAATAATAGAACATTTACAAAAAATCATTTAGACTGCGAAATAATCATCACGCCCATTCAGCACATTTTCCATTTTTGCCACTCAGCCATGCCTGGGCCAACTAAAAAAGTACTCCAAATTCAGTGAGTTTTCACGCTGAGAAGAATGCGTGACAAAACCTGAAAATTGGAGTACTCGTAGATTTTGTTGTGATCTTTCGAGGAAAAACGCTACATAAATTAAAAAAAATCATTCCAACTGCGAAATAGATTGCGGCCGCAATTTGACCCATATTTCAATTTTGCCATTCAGCCTCTCTCTCTCTCTCTCTCTCTCTCTCTCTCTCTCTCTCTCTCTCTCTCTCTCACTCGTATCAACAAATGGAACAAAACTCTCTCTCTCTCTCTCTCTCTCTGCCTGGTAGGACCCCCCCCTCCCTCTCTCTCTATTTCTTTCTCTCTCTCACACTCGTAACAATAAATGGAACAAAACTCTCTCTCTCCTCTCTCTCTCTCTCTCTCTCTCGCTCTCTCTTGTGTTAGCTCTTAGTCTCATTGATTTGGCTACCTTAGGGCTGCGTTCCCCGCGCCCACGCGGTAGACAATAATATAAACGCAACCCTAGAGGGCTGCGAGCTAAGCCCAGCTCGAGCAGAGGCCCGACGAACCGGATGAACCATGTGGAACCCATAGATGACCGGGACGGCACTCGAGGCACGCAGGGTCGGGTCGTCAATCTTCTGGCTAACAGAACAGATTCCCTGGAGCCCCATACAGTACAGAACCGAACGACCTGTGGTGGAACTGGAATGCGTATCGAATTGAATGAATTGATTGATTGATTATGCCCCTGGCCCGCCAGCCCGTTGGTCGCCTGCGGCCCTGTTCTCAGAAGACTGGGCGGGGGTGATGCGGGGGTCAGAATTGGCAAAAGAAAGGTGGGGGGGGGCCGGGGGGCGTTGAGGCTGTTTCGAAGCGGAAGTTAAAAACCTGGCACTGACGCCCGGGGGCGGCGGGGGATCGCTTGTGTGTCGGGGAGCGACCGGTCGGCAGCGTTTGTTTGGGCCTGGCACGTGCGAGCAGGTCGGTGGGCATTAGCTTGTGCGTCCGGAAGGGACCGGTCGGCACAGTTGCTTGGCCTTGGCAGTGACACGCAGGTGCGGTGGGCATGTGCTTGTGCTTCTGAGAGCGACCGGTCGCCGCAGTTCCTTGGCCGATCCATCCGTCGGTCGCTCAGTTTTGTTAGGATTCAGCCTGTCGCCGTCCAATTACGCGCAGTCCCTACGGCGACCGGTAGACGGATCAGGTCCGACTATTGTGGGCGACGCTGTGCGAACGCTATTGACCGCGGCTGTGAGAGGTGGCAGTTGCGCGCGACTCGTCCTGGATTGCCAAATGCAAGCCCGAGTGACTCAGTACACGCGAGACGCGATTGATTGATTGATTGATTGATTAATTGATTGATTGGTTCGTTGATTAATTGGTTGGTTGGTTGGTTAAGGCGGGGCGAGGTTGCCGGGGTATCGTCGTGGCCTGATTGATTAGTAATTGCGGCGGAATGCTGTTGAGGCCCATGGGAGGGTACTCACGCAGAAGCAAGGAGCGCGGCATTGCTGGAGACACGTGGCAGTCGGAGAGGTGATCTTTGTGACGAAGTCCGAGCTGGGGACACGTGGCAGTCGGAGAGGAGGTGACGTCTAATTCGTATTATTCTGTCCAATACCGAATGGCAGAAGAGCTGCGCGAACACGTGTTCGCTCGCTCGATGATGGAATGACGTCAACAGATATAGATAGGTAGGAATGACCGCTGCAAGCATTCACTTGCTGCAAACAATGTACCCTATTTCTCTCTCCCTCTCTCTCCCTCTCTCTACGCGCTCCCCCC